ATTTTTTTAAAACATTTTTAATTTTATTTTAGGGTGCAACATGGCTCTTGAGACATGTTCTTGACAGATTTTTTTAGATTAACCCATTAATGCCCAGGTGTGTTAGTGATGTAATGCGGTACGGTAGTGTGTATCTGGCGTTTGCTCTGACAGCAGGCGTCTGGCGCGGCGCGGTGCTGACCGTGTGGTTTTGCTGTCACGGCACGCATTAAATTTGATGGACAGAGAGCTGGAGGAAGTGAGGAGAGCGTCTGGAGCTCAGCTCAGCCTCTAATGGCCTAATGATGTAGAATAAAGTCATAACAGCAGCTGCGGCTGATGGATGGAAACGCTCTCTGACAGGATGCTGAAACCTTCACTCCTCTAATGGGCCAATCAAACGTCCCTGAGACCCTGAGCTCCTGCTCTCAATCACGTCCTGTAACAGCAGCCCTGCTTCCAAGCATCCAATTCATTCCCTGCAAATGTCTGCTTTATAAAGTCTGAAGTATGTCATTGATCTCGTTGTTGTTGGAAGAGGAGCATGAATTTGACCAGCTCAAGTTTTTCCTTGTTTTTGTGGTTTGTTTGTTTCAGGCACGACCCGTTGTTGGTCCCAGGTCACGATCAAATGGAAACAATGGACGAGAACATAAAGAAATATGATTCGACAGGAATGTTTCACTGGTGTCCATCAAAAGACATAGAGAAGGTCATGCTGGTAAGAGACATTCAGCAGGTTACACAACAGAACTGCAGAACTTTAGAACAGCAGATCTGAGGTCAGTGTTATAGTATCATATTTTACATATAGTAAAATGGCAGTGGCAGAGGTGCGACAGGCCAAAAAGCCAAAGCAGGAAAAACATCTCACCTGTATAATGATCTTACAGTAGTTATTATAATTTGAAGTAGTTTACATTTTTATATTTTCTGTTTTTATATTAATTTTGTAAAATATGTTTGTCTTAAGTCTTAAGTGTAAATTTTTCAAAATTAAGATTTATACATCATCTGAAGCTGAATAAATAAGCTTTCCATTGATGTATGGTTTGTTAGGATAGGACAATATTTGGCTGAGATACAACTATTTGAAAATCTGGAATCTGAGGGTGCAAAAAAATCTAAATGTTGAGAAAATCATCTTTAAAGTTGTTCAAATGAAGTTCTTAGCAATGCATATTACTAATCAAAAATTAAGTTTTGATATATTTACGGTAGGACATTTACAAAATATCTTCATGGAACATGATCTTTACTTAATATCCTAATGATTTTTGGCATAAAAGAAAAATCAATAATTTTGACCCATACAATGTATTGTTGGCTATTGCTACAAATATACCCCAGCGACTTAAGACTGGTTTTGAGCTCCAGGGTCACATTAAACTTTTTTAGTTAAATTTAAAATTTAGTTAGTTTTAATCATTTTAGTAATTAAATTTAAAAAATGTTGCCTTGGCAACTATCTGAAAAAATTTTGTTGTGTGTCAGTTTTATTACTTTTTTCCCCCAATTCTATTTTTTATTCTTATTTCAGTTTTAGTGTAGTTGTTTTCAGTTTCAGTTTTAGTAATTTTAGTACTTAAACCAAACAAAAATCACAAATGTTGCCTTTGCAACTGACTGAAATATTTAAAGTACAACTGAAAGTAGTTTTAGTAATTTTGTTGTGTGTTTTTGTCAGTTTTATTACTTTAAAAAGTGTATTTAGTTGATATTATTTTTATAATAGTAATAAAATAGTTTCATTATAGTACAATAGTTTCATTATTTTTAGTTGTAGTTTGTCATTTTATTACTTCAACTTAAACAAAAATTTGAAATGTTGCCTTGTAAATTAACTAAAATATACTATGAATTCAGATAGACTTTCAACTAAAAGTAGTTTTAGTAATTTTGTTGTGTTTTTGTCAGTTTTATTACTTTAAAATATTTATTTAGTTTTTATTATTTTTTTATTTCAGTTTTAGTTTCAATATTTTTAGTTGTAGTTTTAGTCATTTTATTTCTTCAACTTAAACTAAACAAAAATGAGAAATATTCATTTGATTTCTGAAATATTTACTTAAAGTATAACCGAAAGTAGTTTCAGTAATTTTGTGGTGTTTTTTTTCTGTTTTTTTTTTAATATTCTTTTTATTTCATTTTTAGTTTAGCTATTTTAATTCTTCAGCTTAAACAAAATGAAAATTTGAAATATTGCCTTGTATAACTGAAGTATAAGTATATGTTATTTTCAGTTTTAGTAATTTTAGTACTTCAACTTTAAATTAAAATAATAATTTCTATAAAAAAAAATAAATAAAAATAAAAAATATATATATATAAATTAGACAAATTGTGTAAAATTATACATTTCTATAAATAATAGATTTATTTCAGTTAACATTTATTTCAATTAATGTAATTTTTTTATAGAGTAGATAATCACTTGAAAATTGGAGCTGGGGAAGTTGTAGTTAGCAATAACAACAGTGTGCCAGACTAGTGTTTGTGACTAGTTTTATGGTCTGTAGAGGTCAGTCAGTGATTTATTGGTCTGTATTTCTCCCTCAGACTCGCAGCGAGGCGGCCATGACGGTTTTGAGCGGTCACGTGGTGGTTTGTATATTTGGCGATGTAAAGTCGGCTCTGATCGGTCTGCGGAACCTGGTGATGCCTCTGAGAGCCAGTAACTTCCACTATCACGAGCTGAAGCCCATCGTGTTCGTGGGCTCTCTGGAGTATCTGAAGAGAGAGTGGGAGACGCTACACAACTTCCCCAAAGTCTCCATCTTACCCGTGAGTGGACGTCTGTCTCTCTGTTTAACCCATGATGCTGTATCAGCGGTGCATTTCTGACGTGTGTCTCCTGTTTAGGGAACTCCACTGAGTCGGGCCGATCTGAGAGCTGTCAACATCAACTTGTGTGACATGTGCGTCATCCTTTCAGCCAATCAGAACAACATCGACGACGCCTCTCTGCAGGATAAAGAATGTATTCTGGCGTCTCTCAACATCAAGTCCATGCAGTTTGATGACAGTATTGGACTCCTGCAGGCCAACTCTCAAGGTAAAGACAGGACCGCAGGTGCAGATTCAGCACCGTCCCGTCCCCGGCTCAGATTTTTTTTTTTTTCTGGTGAAAGAAATACACAAATGAAGAAGAAAGCCAAAATATTAGATGTCATGGGTGTATATTAACTGAGTAATCCACTATTTTGTAGAGGGGGGTCAAAACCTGAGGGGTTTCACCTGAGATTCGGAGCCAAATTACAGGGGGGTAAAAATGACTTCAGAAAGCTGGCAGCATCATTAAATTATTTTTTACTCAGAGATTGGTTGCTCTGTTAGTAAAATCTGTTGACTTTAGCAATCTTTGCTGCATTATATTCCAATGGTGATCATTCAAACATGGGGAAAAGGCACTTCTTTTGTTTTTTTCCTGAAGTTTGCAAGCCTGTAATTTAAGAAGTCTTAAATATATCTTAATATCCTTGTAGATTTGAGTTCTTAACAAACTTTTCTTTTCGTATCGTAATTTTTAAGGCCCTATATGGTTCATTTTCAGAGATGTAGGGATTTCAATGTGGCTCCTTGAGTAATTTGTTTTAATTATAGCACTCGACATGGATGTTCTATGCAAATTTTTTGATAGATGGAAAGAAGATACATTTATAGTTTCAAAATTATTTGTACTTCAGACATTCCACTTTAAATTCAATAAGTATCATATTTTTGCAAAGTGATCAACATTTGATTTTTGACCACTGAAAATGTGTACAATTTACTCTTGGAGCCACATTTAGATTCTAATATCTATGAAACTGAACCATATAGAGCCTTAAAAAATGAAGATCCCAAAAGAAAAGTTTGTTAATGCTCACAATCTAAAAGGGCATTAAGATTACTTTAATACTTCTTGAGTTACAGGGCTACAAACCTAAGAAAAAAGCTTGAAAAGTGCTTTTTTCCCCATTTTTGAATGGTCACCGTTGGCATATAATGCAACAAAGATTGCTAAAGTCAACAGATGTTACTAATAGAGCAACAAATCTCTGTGTAAAAATAATATAATGATGCTGCCAGCTTCCTGAAGCCATTATTACCCCCTGTAATTTGGCTCCAAATCTCAGGTGAAAATGTCATTTTGACCCCCTCTACAAAATAGTGCATTACTCAGTTAATTTACACTCGTTGCATTTAATATTATGGCTTTTATCGCTATTTATGTTTGTCTTTCTTGAGAAAAAATATTAACAAAATCAAAAATTGGAGCTGGGGAAGTTTCTGAAATGTGGTTGATTTAACATGGAATGACGCTGTATTCATGTATTTTTGTGCTCTGCTCCAGGCTTCACTCCTCCTGGAATGGATCGCTCGTCTCCGGAGAACAGTCCCGTACATGGATTGGTGCGGCAGGTGTCCATAACCACCGGAGCAAACATTCCCATCATCACAGAGCTCGGTGAGACTCATATTACACTCACATTTAAGCACAAATTAATACTTATATTCAGCAAGGGTGCATTAAATTGATCAAAAGTGACAGTAAAGACATTTATAATGTTACAAAAGATTTCTAGTTCAAATAAATGCTGTTCTTTTGAACTTTCTATTCATCCTGAAAAATAAAATGGATCACAGTTTCCACAAAAATATTGTGCAGCACAACTGTTTTCAACATTGATAATAATCAGAAATGTTTCTTGAGCAGCAGATCAGCATATTAGAATGATTTCTGAAGATCATGTGACACTGAAGACTGGAGTAATGATGCTGAAAATTCAGCTTTGATCACAGAAATAAATTACATTTTAACAGATATTCACATAGAAAACAGCCGTTTTAAAATTCAAATAATATTTCACAATATTACTGTTTTTACTGTTTTTTTCTTATTTGGGTCATATTCCAAGACGTAGGCTAGAATCTGTGATTGCGAAGTAACGTTACAGTAAATATCCACACCGGTGCGGTGACCGACTGCCACACATTCTCTTCAGAACATTAGATTAATCTGGACTGGAGCCATGCAGACTCTC